CAAACAAATAGTATGAACAACATAAATGTTATATATCTACTTCAATTTATCATATAATTAAAAATTTAGCACATTTTATGATTATCACCAATGTTAATTTTAAATATTACTTATAAAATTTCGAAACTTCATTTTAAATATGTTTTAGTAAATTTAAACATAGACTTAGAAAAAATTTAGTAAACCTCCATGCGTTTCACCTATAGACGTAGCCACCCCTAGTTTTGTAAATAAGATCTATAGCCCCCACTCTGTCAATCCCTATTGATGAAAAATTCAATAGCAAAATGACATTTTTGCCCTTGGTTATCCTAACCACAAAGATTTCAAACAGCCTTTTGTCGTTGACATTGATGTCTCCAACGACATTTGCCAAAGGCCTTGGTGGCCTCGTGGTAGCCGTGAAAAGGCTTGGAAGTATCACGTAGATTGGTAGTGATAAGCCGGAGGAAGGTGAGGATGACGTCAAGTCATCATGCCCTTGATGCCCTAAGCGACACACGTGTTACAATGGCCAGGACAAAGGGTTGCGATCCCGCAAAGGGTAACTAACTCCAAAAACTCGTTCTCAGTTTGGATACCAATCAAAAAGATAAAAAAGATATGATGTTGGATCATGTAATATTATGATGCCATTAAGGGCAAAATAAGGCCTTTTGACAAATGCCCAAGGTTGGATGTGGCCCTTTGCGGCAACATAAAGGTTGGATGTGGCCCTTTGCGGCAACGTAAAGGTTGGATTTGGCCTTGACTAGTGTCGAGAAATGAGATCCAACCTCGCGATCTAGGTGAGGCTAAATTCGGCCTTTCAATGTCAACCCTCATGCTACCATTACCAATAGAAGCTAGATATGATCTCTACGCAATTGTTAGAGGCCTAATCTATCCTCAAGGGAGCCTCTTGAGGTGTTTATCGATTATAAGAAAGGAGGACGAAGAGGGGGGAGAAAGTGAAAAGAAATAAGGAAGAGAAAGAAAAGGAAGTGAAAGTAGAAAAAGAATGAGAGAAGAAGGGGGAAAAGGGAAAAAAGAAACTCTAGGGTGAAAACTTAGAAATGCCCTTCCTTAAAAATAATAATAACAACTTTACTCGCTTTTCAAGTTTCACAAGAAATCTATTGAAATGATATTCACTACTAATACGCGAAACACATGGTGGTTTCTCAAATTTCCCTTACATAGCGTTTGATTTAGGGAATTTTTTTATTACTAAAAAGATAAGATTTCCACTGAGATAGATTACCTTGAAGATTAATAGGAGAATGTTATCTTAATATGTTTGGTTAGGTTGGTAAGTATAAATAATTAATATGTTTGGTTGGGAGGAATAAAATATCATCGGAGGGATTTTTGCTGAATTGCCCTTCCTTTTTAATATTATTATTATTATTTAGAGCATTAATTTTAACCTCTTACATTTGAGAATTTACTAAAACACCCCAACAACAAAAGTTTAAAATTTAACAAAATACATCCAACTATCCAAGAAGATTGTCGGCCACCAACAATCACCAGAATGGCGCACGACCGACCGAATCTGGCCGGTCGTGCGCCGATCTAGCCGGAAATGGTCAAATCCATTCTGGCCACTAACGGCCAAATTTGTGGCCATCAATTTGGCCAAATCTATTTTAGCTGTTAATGGCCAGATTTGTGGCCATTTATAGCCATGGATTTAATTGTAACACCCACAGTGAGGTATGGAATTTTATTCATGTCTTAAAGTCTTTATGCCTTTATTTCAAGCTGAATGTATGAAAATTTGTTGAAGAAAAATTTTGCAGACTTTGCCGCGGCAAAGGAAGTTTGTCGCCGCGACATTGTACATTCTGCCCAAACTCGTGGCAAAAACAGGCAGCTTCGCCCGGGTGAAGAACTCCCTGGAAATTTTAGTGATTTTGGGGAAACTCTTGTTTAAGGGCAAAATGGTCATTCCACCCATAATTAGTTGAAAGTGTGGGGAGTGAAAAGAGATAGAATATCATGGAGAATGCAATGAAATGAAGACTTTTTGGTAATTGACTAAAAGGCATAGATGGAATTTCACGAAAAGTGTAAGGATAAAATGGGAAGCTATGAGTAATTTTTTGTTATATTAAGAGATTAAGATGAAACCCTAGCTATTCTTCTTTGCCTTTCACGCCACTCTCAACCCAAATTCTCTCAAGTTCCTTCAATCAATTTTCAAAGGAAATTCATAGATTTTGGTCTAAGTTGGGTAGATTTTCAATCCTAAGCCTCGCGGTAAGACTCTTGCACTCAGATATGAGTTTTAATTTTTGTTAAGTGGTGAATTCTTATGGTTGTTGTTAATAGGGTGTAAGAGAAAGAAAGTTGTGTTAAGAGAAGACTAGAGTGTTGAGTTGCTCACTTCAAGGTAAGTAAATTCAACCCAAGTTATGATTTGAACTCAATTTAGTAGAAAATTTTTCCATGTATGTATGTGCTTATGATTTTGAGAATTGTTGATGAGATTGATGTTTATTGATGAATAGACATCAGCCATGAGAAGAGGAATTTGTTGTATGGTGATTGATGGAAGTTTGGTTGAATTTAGAAAGAGTTTGAGTAGACTTTATGGAGTGTATTTTCCTGGCCAAGTTTAGTATTGATTTAAGGGAGTTTTACTCCGAATATTGGTGGCTTGAGAAAGAAGTAGAAGTGTAGCCAAATTAGAGTGTGAGTGTGCATGCAATATGTTTGATGAAATGTCGAAGAGAAGTGTATGCATGAGTTTATTCACTTGTGATCTTGATATGAGCTTGTAGATGGTAGAGAATGACTTATTTTTATGCTACATGACATTCTTGCATTTAAACAGTTGCATATGTAAAGAATAACAAGCATGAGCCATCTACATGCATACATATACATATGTATGAGAACTTAAAGAATAAAGAGAAAGAAAGAAAAGTCATTAAAGAATGCTTTAAAAGAAGAAAAGAACAGGTTGTTGCGATGGGGAACCCATAAGTGACAGAAGAGAATAGCCCTACATGCACGCTGCCTTCAGTGAGTGGCCTCAGAATCAGAAAGAAGAAGGTGTATAGTTCGTTAGAAATGCATATGGATGAGAACTATACCAACAGAATATACCTACATGCATGTCGCTTCCAACAAGCGGCTATAGAATAGAAAGAATACTTGTAGAGGACTGTACCCACTCACATGGCCAGGGTTCCGAATCCATGCCTCAACCGAGTCCGATCGACAAAAAAAGAATAGAAAGAAAGAATAGAAAGAAAGAAAGAACAGAAAGAATAGAAAGAATAGAAAGAATAGAAAGAAAGAAAGAACAGAAAGAATGGAAAGAAAGAAAGAAAGAAGAATAGAATATAGAAAGAAAGCATAGAACACATAAAAGAAACAAAGAAGAGCAACAAAAAACAGAAAAGAAAATGCATTCTTGAATGCATTTATGCACATGCATCATGTCATTTATATTATTCAAAATTAGTTTCTCTAGTGGTGCTTACATGTCAGTAAGTGAGAAACTAGAATACAGAAAGAATAGAGAAAGAATAGAAAAGAACAGAGAAGCAGAGAGAAATGTTTGTAAGGAAAGAAATTCAGAATTTGAACAACGGAGAGAGAGGAGTAGCTTAGAGGGTTTACTTACTAAGCAATTAGCACTCACCCCGTTGTTTTCAATGTTTTTGCAGGTAGGAGATAAGATGCGGTCGGAAGGAACGTCATGAGCGGAAGGGTCTGACAACCATTGTCAAGTTTATTTTGAGCACTTTTATTTCTTAATGTATAGTTTTGTGTATAACGGAAGAAATGGGCCTAACTCTTGTATACTCATTTACATGTATAGATTTTCCTATTTATATGAGTTTTATTGTTTATTTTACGAGTATACTAGCTAGAGAGAGAAAGCATTACATTTGTCGGAAACGACCAGATTTTTCGACCAGATCCACGACCATCTTGCCATTTTCGACCTTCGATCTAGCCCGAAATGGCCATATCTGGCTAATCATGCGTTGTTCCCACAACGAGTGGTGGCCACCACCATCGGGCGACAATCGTCTTGGGTGACTGGGGGTATTTTGGGTATTATAAATGTAAATATTGAAGGTATTTCTGTCTAAAAAAATTAATATATGAGGTTATATTTAGTACACATATGAGGGCATTTCTGTCCAAAATGTTTACTAATTAAGTGTAAAATTGGTATGAACAGTGGATCACACTGATAATAAAAAATAACACCCTTTCAAACGGTAATCGAATTACTCCCTATATTATCTACAGTAATCATTATTAGTATTGGTCGATTATCAGAATCTTTCATTATTTGACACCCAAACATGATAATTGTCGGATTAAAAGATAAATTACTAGTGTTATCTTTTACCCCGAACTAAACGCTCAGTTAAAGTATTGGTAATATAACCAAACTTAATCAAAAAAATTTAAAGGGAAAATTACTTAACATATGTTAAGGTGTGGAATTGAAAAATAATATTTTTTTAAGGTTTTTTCACCAAATTCCGATAATTCAAAAACGATGAAATCAGACGACACAACCAAACACACAACTTTTGCCAAGGCGCAGGACCACCGTGGTCGTGGGTCACAACTCCTCCATGGTTGCGACTCTACATATTAGCTGGTTGGGATTTAGGGATTTAGTTTTTCAAGTTAGAGGTTTGAGATCTAATGAGCAAGGGGTTCACTAATATATCAAGAAAAAAATTATTTGATCATATTTATTGATGAAATGTCTTAAATGTCCTTGAATAGATTCTCTATTACACTCTTTAGGATCTTGCGTGTATTTGCTAAGAAAAATTAAATAACTATGGGTTAGCCTAAATGGGCCGAAAAGTAAGGGGAAAACTTTTTTTCAAAAAAAAAAAAAACCTTTTTCGAACAAGAAATTTGGACGTAAACGACATCGTAAAAGTACACGCCCCTAACAGTGCCCGCGATTCTTCCGTTTTTCAAGTTTCAAGGTACAAACTTTATCATCAAATCTCTTGTTTTCGCTTCGCTTAAGATTTCAGAAGATGAAATAAATTTCGAATTTACCTTTGGACGTGGAAAAAGTTTTTAAATTTTCTATATAAATGTTACAATTTGCTTTCGGATATAAACCCTAATCACATTTGATTTGGGACTGATTGTTATTATTTAATTTGTGAATTTGCAAGTGGCAAACCCTTACTATTGTTCTGTGTTGTGAAATTAGGTTAAACTGAGCCCTAGATAATCAGCTGGAGCTATTAAATGGGATAGAAAAATTTGGGAGTTTTGAGATCTTTAATAAAAATGGGTACTCTGGCTGAGTTTTCTTCGGCTGATTCGAGGCTCCCATGGCTTTGGATAATTGAGTATTTAGCCGGCTTCAAGCAAGTAGAGACGTCCATTATACATGGTACAGATGTGTAGACTGAATATTTGCTTAAAGATGGATACGAGGGTTTGTTCTTGTTGTTTATATTGAACTTTAGGAAGTGATTTGGTTTGTTATTATTTCAGATTTGGTTGAAATGGTGCCGGACTTGCCTGAGGAGTTAGCAAAAAATATGAGGGAAATGGTTGCTTTGAGATGTTTGGAGGATTTGTTTGGTGCTAGTAATGGACATGCCAATGATGGTCTTTCTGAAATGGTGGAAAAAGTTGGATTTTCTTTATCGGAAAGCTGTGAAGATGTTCTTCAACACATACTTCAGAAGGTGATATACTTCAATTTCATCCGTGATTTTTAAATAATCAGGTTGTGTGCGTTAAAGAAATTAAATAATAAAAATATCTATCATTTCGTTGGCAAAATTTTATGGTATATTTTTTTTCCTAATATATAGTGTAAAATTCTTGTTTGTTAGTCATCGGCATTGGATCGGCAAAGGGCTGGACCAGAGCTATTGAAATGGGATGTTCATCCCTTTATTATGCATAAGAGAACTTCGATCCCTAAATGTGCTTTAGGACAGGTAAAGAGAATTATTTGTCTGTTGCTTTTCTTTTTTCTGGGGAAGGGATAATAAGTTTATTAATCCTGTTTAGCTGTTTTTGATTGTGCTTTCTATTGTTGTTTACAAACAGTTGAAAGATGCAATTCTTGGTGGTATTAGTCCATTGGCTGCCTCCTTGATGGAAAGTAGTGGACTGATGCATGTAAATGAGAATGGTGGAACTTGCATTGATAATGTTGATCATAATGAAAGGACATGGAGGGTTGATGGGACTGGCACTGATGCCCAAACAATGGCAAAAAATGCAAATTTGATTCCTCCAACCTGTGAAAATGGGAATGAACCAGCAGGAAATAATTCTCGTAACACAAGTTTATTACCTTCTAAGAGCATCAGAGATGAGTCAAATGACTTGGCTGCTGAAAATGTGGCGGGGCACAAGTTTATTATCAAGACCAGAACATCAACTGATGCATCTTCATTGAGAGCACAGCGGATGGATTCTGCAGATGAATCCAAAGGTCAGATTGGTGAAGATGAAATGTCAAGTGATAATGTTGAATATCACAATGAGATGATTGATGTTGCCAAGAAGAACAATCATTTCTTGATTGCTCAATGCTCATTAGATAATGACTCCCTGGAAGCAACCGACAGGATGGAACATAACCTTTGTGTGAAGTGTAATAAAGATGGTCAGTTGTTAGTTTGTAGCACCACTAGTTGTCCATTGGTGGTTCATGAGAATTGCTTGGGTTCTCCTGCAAATTTTGATAAAAAGGGAAAGTTCTACTGCCCTTTTTGTGCATATTCGACAGCAATTTCTGAGTATCTGGAAGCTAAGAAAAAAACCTCCTTGGCAAGGAAAGAGCTGGCTGTGTTTATGTGTATGGAATTGGTGCAGCATCCGGAGAAACTTGCTAAGAGATTACCCAGGAAAGTGCACAGTCATTCAACACATAATGGAGATGTGGAAATTTGTGAAAATGGTCATTTGGGAGGGCAAGAACATAATCAAGTGAAACAAGATGTTCAAGATGTACATGATGTCAGTGATCGTCTATGTCAGGAAAGTATCGGTAATAGGCAACAATCAGAGCCTTCTGCATCATTATCTATTGGCAATTTACCTTGTAGAGAAGAAGCAGCAAATGCAATTAGTGAAACAGTTTGTGTTCCTAATGGAGAGAAGGCAGGGAAAGAAAATTTAGTTAAAGAGTGCCCATTTTTAAGAGTGCTTGAAGGACAACAGATTCAAGCACCGGCTAACCATAGTTCCAACAGTGATGATCTAACCTCTATAAGTGCTGATGATACCTCTGTGGATGAGAGAGAAGCTGAAGGAGGAATTCCGAAGGAAGATTTCCAGCAAGCGAATAATATTTTACAGGAGAAACCTGTTTTTGCTCTTAATATTGATGGAGATCATACCTCTGAATCGGAAAACGAATTTTCTAATTACTGCATACGATTCCGTAGGCGAGAAAGGCAGTTAAGTTTCTCATCATCCATGGTGCCGGTGTACCTTTTCATGCCATTTCCAGTTGTAGACTTTGTCTGACTTTAAATTTGATTCTCTTAAAAAACATTGTGTAAATGGTACAAAATGGCTTGTATGAGTGATGGCTTCTCTTACTGATGCACATACGTGCTTGTTATCTGGAAAGTAGTGTAGTGATTTGCATCTTCATAGCACAATTATTAATAACTGGTATTAAATGTTTTTTCTAATTCCAGTACATCCCCAGCCAATGTTCAGTTGAGACGAAAGAAAGTACCATGGACAGCTAAAGAAGAAGAGATGCTTAAGGTATGGTATCTATTACTTATATCAATATGTAGCCTAAAAAACAATGTATCTTTAGATTTTCTTTCTTTTGCATCTCATATAATCATATTTTACAAAAGATCTTTCTTTTGAAAGTGAAGAATTCAAAATCCAATGTTTTTTGCATTCAAATTTCAGAATATATATGTTATTGCTATGTGCTTGATGACCACATAAAAAAGGAATTGTTTTTTTAATGGTAGTCTACAAACTAGTGGTAATTCGAAAGAAGAAACAAAGGCCTACCAGGGAAAAATAAATACATTATGCTGGTGTGATGAATATGAAATGTAGGCATGACGATCAGTCAGAGTCTGTTAGACTTAAGATTATAAATTTGGTTTTTCACTTTATGGTTTCCAACCTGGAAATCTGCAGTTTCATTGAGATGCAGCATTGCTCTTCTCCTTTATCATCACTTATGTTTTGTTGGGTATTATTACATGTTTAACCATTGCTAATATTGTTGCAGATGGGGGTGCAGAAATTTACTAGTGTCAATGACAGAAATATCCCATGGAAGAAGATTTTGGAATTTGGTAGTTCCGTGTTTCTGATGGGTCGTACAACAATTGACCTGAAAGATAAATGGAGAAATATGTGCAAAGGAAGCCCAAGGGCCAAATAAGGTGTTGTCATTCTGGTTGGTTTTCTCATGTAAATACATAAAATTATTTTTGTCCACATCTCAAATCTCATTTCATAGGGGACCAGGTATTTATCTTGCTTCTAAAAGTAAAGGATTATGTTAATATAAAACTGATGTGATATTGTAGTTGTAGGCTTGTAGCAAAGTTTTACTTCTTGATAACCATTTTTTGTAGATGACATGACGCGTCCTAAGAGGATGGAAGCTTGTAAAGACATGTCTTGACTGTCTCTTTGTTTCTGATTATATTTATTGGTTATGAAAACCTTAGTGAAGTTGATAAATAATTGGCTTACATTTATTTTCCAGTCTTAAGCTATTGCAAGCCACAAGCATTATATTTCTTGTGCTTCTTATGCAAGTGCAAAAGTAAAGATTAGCCATCTATATTGACTTGGCTCATCATGACTGTACATTGTTTCTTAGGTTGTAGAATAATAGTGTTTATAACTGTAATCAACATCAGTGCTACATAGCACGCAGGCATTTTTCTTAAAAACTGGTGTGCTATTGCTGCTTGATTAATGAGTTCAGGCATGGTTTCTTTGAATATAGAATGTTGTAACTATGGGTTGTCCTTGTTTGAATCACTAAGTGTGGTGGTGATTGTGATTGTGAAATATAGTTTGGAGTTAGTGTTAAATTGCAAGGATTAGAAGGTTGCTAATGCTGTGGAGAAACTCATTGTTCTTCAATAGGATACTATTTAACATTATGAGATATTTTGCAAAAATCCTTCTAAGATATCTTTGTTTCCAATGCACCAAATATTATGAGAAAAATGTATGATTCAAAATTTTGGATATTAAACTCTATTTATTTGGTAAATACTTCATACCACAAACTTTTTTAATCTAACAAGTTCTTCTACATAATTAATAATACCAGCAACTTTTTAACAAATTAATAATATTGTTGTTATTTATAGCTAAAAATAAACTTGTATTAAATAATAAAATTAAAATCACAAAATAAATAGTAAATTTTGAAAAAGAAAACAATAAAATATATAGAAACCAAAGACATGGGCCAACGTCGCTAGCATATGTGACCAAGCTACGTGGCCAGATCAACACAAGACTGGGTCAGATGGTCAAGCGTGGCCTAATAGCTGGCCTATTGGTGCTATTTTTAGGGGTTTTTCTTTTATTTTTAATTTTATGAATTTATTGGGTTTTTAATTTTTAATTTTATGTAATTTTATTTTTAATAATTTTCCGTAAGCTTAATTATAATTAACAAAATATCGTCCCTTTTGTATATATGTTAGAACATGTCAGCTAATTGATATTAACCTTTTTCTAAAGCATAACATAAGAGCCAACTATTTGGTAGGAAATAAAATAAAGAAATGATATTTTTTTATGGTTAAAAATGAAAGTAAGGAAACAGAAGCAGCTTAATTAGTTGAAATTTCCTCCCTTAATTAAAGTTGTGGGTTAAGTTGAAGTAGTATGGAACAAACCATAACTACATATGAATATAAACATTGCTCTTTCTTAATAAGATGGGCAGGATTCTTGTATATTAAAATTGAATGTTATTATCATTTTGAAGTCCAATAGTTGAAATAAATACATCATCTAGAATCAGTGTATTCATGGTAAAATCATTCTACAATGCATTTCAGTCAAGGAATTAAATGCCATAGTTTTTATTTAAATTTTTAGGGTAGGTTGAAGGATTAATTAGTATAACGGACTCAGTTGGAACCTCTAGAAAATATATATGAAGAAGTAGGAGGTACAAAAGCATTTGCAGAAATTCTACAAGCAGTAGGTAGATTTGATTTGGAACATGCTTGAGGTGAGAGAGAGAGAGAGGGTGGCATTGCATGAGATAAAGATGAAGGTAAATCCCGGGAATCAGGTTGAAAATGGCAGTACATCATGTGAAATTCAGCTCGTGAATATCTAAAATGTTGAGGTGCTCTGTTCAATTCAATATTCATCTCATTTTACAGAATCCAATGAAGACACTTCAATTCAATCACTTCAACTCCAAATATTCCATTACTTCTCACACATGTCTTGTCCAATGGGCCAATTCAACCTATAATTTTATTTTTGTTATGGGGTTAAATAGATTAGAAGAAAAAGTAGACAAAATTGTGTTGGGTTCCTGTTGAAGAGCATATTTGAGAAGAAGTACAAAGGCATGAAACTGAAGAGGTGACATATTCATGAAGCTACTACATTGACCATTATTTTGGTTTTTTGTGATTGTGGTACTCACATTCTTCACTCTTTAACTCGCATTGTTTTTGGGTCCCGTGAGCTGCTTTTGCACTATTGACTCTGCAGAAGACTGTCTCAACATAAGATAAAACTAAACCCTTCTGTTATTGGAATTTTCAGAAATGAATCTAATCTTATGAGGCCACAGTTAACACTGTTCAATGTCACTAAGGAGTAGGACTATGACTACATTTGTTATTTGCTACCCTTTTTTATGATAAAGTCGGATTTGTTTGTAAACTTAATCCATCAAACCCTTTTCCTTCCTTTATAATTCTAACGTTAAACCATGTTTCAAAAGTTGCACTATAATAAGAGTAAATTTCGGTCATCTTTTCTTTTTTCTTTTTATAGTTTAGAGAATGTTGCTATCTGTTAATGAATTGCTAGAAATTTTGGAAAAAAATTGTGATGAATTTATAACTATTTTTATTTATAAAGATGTTTATGCACCAAACCATTCATGCATGTATCATGGATGATGGCATGCAGGATTGCCACATGGCTTATGCCATATAAACTTAAATTAATTAAAAAAAGAACTTATATATTTGAAAATTATCTGACTAACGGTCTCATGGGGATTCAAAAGCTATTCCTAAACGTGACAACATTTAAATCAAACTGCACTCTCGCTCCCTACATATTCCGCGCCTTTCTTACTCAATACTCCATTCTCACTCACTCACTCACTCTTTCTTTTGCTTCACTTTCACTCCCAAAACTCCCATGGATAATTCCAGGAAATCCCCACTCAAGCCATGGAAGAAAGGCCCCACTAGAGGCAAAGGTGGCCCTCTTAATGCCTCTTGCCAGTACAGAGGTGTTAGGCAAAGAACTTGGGGCAAATGGGTTGCAGAGATCAGAGAGCCGAAGAAAAGAACTCGACTCTGGTTGGGTTCTTTTGCTACTGCTGAAGAAGCTGCTATGGCTTATGATGAGGCTGCTAGGAGATTATATGGACCTGATGCTTATCTCAACCTTCCCCATCTTCATCCTAACTCTATTAGTTCTCCAAACAAATCACACAAGTTCAAATGGATACCTTCCAAGAACTTCATTTCCATGTTTCCTTCTTGTGGCTTGCTTAACATAAATGCTCAGCCTAGTGTTCATGTTATTCACCAAAGGCTGCAAGAACTTAAGAAAATTGGGGTTCTAAGTCAAAACTCTTCTGCTAGTTCGATCTCTTCCTGCGTGTCAAATGCTGAGGTTCCGATTATAGGTGATGAATCCCACGTTGAAGATCCTTCTTTTAAGGAAAAAGAGGTGGAAATTTCATCTGAGAAGATGCTGGGACATCATGAAGAGAAGCAGCAGATTGATCTAAATGAGTTTCTTCAGCAGCTAGGCATACTGAAAGATGATAGTCCAGCAGAAACAACCGATGGCCCAGGAAGTTCTGCACCACCAGAAACAAAAGACTATGGTGAACTTGCGGCCTTTGCTGACAAGAGTTTCAATTGGGATGCACTGATCGAAATGCACGGTATCACGGAACATCAAGGAGCAGAAGCCAGTTGCTTCCAAGTTTATGATATTCAAGAGGAGGTTACTCTGCCTACTTCCATTTGGAACTTCTGAAAGATAGCTAAATTTTGAAGTTGGAGCTAGCTGCACTAATATCCTAATAGAAATACATTCCCGCATCACTAAAACCAGGCTATAGCTTAGTTTGTTCCAGATCTACTGCAGGTTTGATATGACTGTTATATTTCTATCTTATTAGTACAAGAGAAACATAGGAAAAACTTATTTACTTGACCATTAGGGAGAGAGGGAGAGTTGCTGTAGTAGCTAGTAGTATAACGTATGGTGACAAAGATGAGAAAAAGGGAAGTTCGTTGTTGCAGTTATAGTAATGAACTTATTTTCTGTCAGTGGGTGATGTTCTGATCAAGCGTATTTTGTTTTTCACTACATAACCCTTGTGCATGTTTCTGGAAATTTGCTCCCCTTGGGGGCAGTGAGGACATCTGATAGTAAGTATTTTACAAGACTTAACATATCTTTTATGCAGACTTCCCACATTTACCATTCAATATAGTCAGAAGAAAAGTAAATTCAGGAAAATTCTGCATGTCGGATTCACTTGAATAATGTGAAGACAGCAAACAAACAGTAAAGTGAATAAATAGAAAGGATTGTACCTTTTAAGTCAAGATCACACTCTAAAGTTGAAGTCTGATGTCTACTCAAATACAATAACAATGATTCTATGGAGGAAAAAGAATGGAGAAATTAGTCGCTTGCAAATATAAGCATACCCACAAAATATCTACCACATGCATTAGTGATAAAAATGCAAAACTTTTCTACTAAAGAATTTCCCATGATGCTTTATACAATTCTCAGAACAATGATGGTTGTTATGGTTGGTCATCCTTTTTTCCACCACTTGCAGACTTCTTACTTCTTGTGAGCACAATAGGCAGGGTGTATGCAGTAAATATACAGTAGGAAAAGTGAAGGGACCTGTTACATATCAACATTCCAGATAAAAAATGATCAACTAAAATCGGCAAACATATTGTTTATTAAATGAGTAATAACTCGACGCATGATAGAGATGAACAGGACATGTCAAACCAACCTATTTTACAGAACTCTGCAGATAAATAACAGCAAATAAATTCAGTTCCAGAATAAATGAATTTTTCTCTGATCAAAATTTTAGTAGTTTAAAGTCCTATGAATCATACCCTACAGTCAACAGATTCAGAAAGCTCTCAGAGAAACAACAAGCCTTCTTCCATGCTATGCAAATTATACATTGAGATACTCTGAGCCACTAAGATATTCCCCATGCTCCTCAAAATACTCAACTAATCGCTTTAAGAATCCATTACTATTCACTGTATCAGTGTCACAGACAAGACAACACTGTCTTCTTGCTCGCGTGACAGCCACATTCATCCTCCTGCGATCACTCAAAAACCCTACCTGAAAAGTTTTAGAAGAGCTGTGAGCTCAACTATTTTTAGTTCCATAAAAAAGATGTTGGTTGAGATTTAATATTATCTAAAATCTAAGGAGACAACGATAGTACCGCAGTGGCTTAAATTACCTCTTTCTTTGAATTTGATCGAACCATTGAAATAATAATAGCCTCCTTCTCCCTACCTTGGAAACCATCAACAGTGGAGATTTCCAGACCCTTTAGTTTATCATCATTGCTTTTCAACATCTTCAGTAAGACAACCTGCAGCAATAGTTAAAAATATGTAAGGGAAAATAGAATGAGAGTTTGTGCATCTAAATGAAGGGCACGTTATTATTTCTGTGGTGAATATTGTGAATCGCTCACTGTATTCAATGTCAATTTGGGATGAATGCATAAAAATATTAAAAAAGAAAAAAATTACCTGTGCAGCATAAGGCGTAATAATTCCAATATCAGAAGCCTGGACTCCACTTTGTACAAGTCTCTTTGCATGGGCCATAGCAACCTCAGCTTCGCCTTCATTCAGTGTGCTATCTTCTTCATCCTTTTTTTCTTCCATGTCACAACTGAAGCAGTTCAGTACAAACCACTTACATATTTCATCTTACAATAAAGAAGTCTTTCAGATAATGAAATCTTTTAGGAAAAAAATCAATGATAGACTAAAATTCTTAAAATACTCAAACCACAAAGTCCAAAATGTTGATCAATTTTTTTTTTTTTTTTTTTTTAGCTTTCATTATCATTAGGTTCAAACAAAATGTTTTCATATCTGATAACTAGTTACTCTTTTTATTTACTATTTTCAAATTTCATGAATTAACTTACCAATAGGATTTTTTTGTCTTTGCTATGCTTGCTTCTGTTTCTTTTTTAACACGTGTCTTTGCTTTGATAAAAATTTAACTTGACCCTTGTTTCATTTACTAAATTATCAGGAACTTATCAAAATAAACAAAGCGAGTTTTGTTAACATTTTAACAAAGAGGAGTCATTTCAGAGATACAAAAGCACCTGGCTGATACATATATCTTGTGACTACAAAATATGAAAAAATTAAGTGATTTTATCCATGTGGGTTCAAACATCCCAGAAACAACTCTGACAACCACAGATTATTAAAGAAAATTCCAATAATAAACAGCATACCCAGCTATGTCTATGAGAAGAAGGGTTGGCTCTGTTGATGATGACCTCTCCACATCTTCAAGATCATAAAGCATATGTGCAGCAACACAAGGATGGGCTTTGATCTGTCATATGATAAATATTAAATAACTGTACATCATCATGTGCAAAATCAAAAGCATCTGATTTCCATTTGCTTGCATATGATTTAACCACATGGCCCAACATCCAGACAAGATTGACATACCTTACTGTTGTAAAGCTCTTTAGATGACCAGTTCATAATAAGTTCATGCATGCGATACTGGACAGTGAGCATAGACATAATTTCATCGCCATATAAGTCTGCAAGGCGTTCAAAGAGAGTTCTCCCTAAACCTTTGTTCTCAGCTTCTACACTTTGGATGGTTGGGGGAAGCTGAAGATGGTCTCCTGCAAGTATACATCTTGAACCCTGAAACAAGTATCATGTGCCAGATTGAATTAAATTAAATGAGCCATTAACTTTTGGCATTGAGGTTTCATTAATCTTGAATTCACCAATATATGTAAGATATACATTCTAGAAGAACAAACAATTATTAACCATCTTTGAAGTCCAAACTTTATTACAATAGCCACTTGAGATAATTTATCTTTACAACAATCTACAAGTTAAATTTACTAAATTCAGATTTAAAATCATGTATTTCTGAGATTTTTGAGTCTTTAGTGGAATTACATATGTATATTTTTTGGGCTAAATGCATATGTGTGCATGCTTGAAATAAGAAACATTACCTTCAGTAGAGCCATCCAGCATGCTATCTCAAGCGCCTGAGCAGCTTCATCAATAATCACCAAGTCAAATGAAGTGTTATCCAGCTTGCGAGAAAATGCACCAGTCAAAGTTGTCAACACCACATCTGCATTTTTAATCACATCTGTCACAGCTAACTGCTGTCTTTTGCGCTCTTCTTTGGAAAGAGCCCGAAGCTCCTTCTGGATTTCTCGCCTTGTGTTTTTGTCTTTGGCTTTCAACAACTTCCCACTTAATGTCTAGACAAATGCAAGAGACATTCAGAGATCGTAATATAAAAAATAAATAAAATAAATAAAAAATCATTTTGTCAAGTAAGCATGCTTTTTTACACTTGCTCTCAAAGCAACTTTTAAAATGCCTACTGATGATTTTTCATGAACAGCCAAAATGGATTAGCTTGTAAGGATGATGGATTCATTGTATAAAGTTTCCTCATAAAAGCTCACAGTGAATCATAAAAGTTCAACAAAAAGTACAAAGAACATTTTANGGCTTTGATCTGTCATATGATAAATATTAAATAACTGTACATTATCATACGCGAAATCAAAAGCATCTGATTCCATTTGCTTGCATATGATTTAACCACATGGCCCAACATCCAGACAAGATTGGCATACCTTACTGTTGTAAAGCTCTTTAGATGACCAGTGCATAATAAGTTCATGCATGCGATATTGGACAGTGAGCATAGACATAATTTCATCGCCATATAAGTCTGCAAGGCGTTCAAAGAGAGTTCTCCCTAAACCTTTGTTCTCAGCTTCTACACTTTGAATGGTTGGGGGAAGCTGAAGATGGTCTCCTGCAAGTATACATCTTGAACCCTGAAACAAGTATCATGTGCCAGATTGAATTAAATTAAATGAGCCATTAACTTTTGGCATTGAGGTTTCATTAATCTTGAATTCACCAATATATGTTAAAGAAAGATATACATTCTAGAAGAACAAACAATTATTAACCATCTTTGAAGTCCAAACTTTATTACAATAGCCACTTGAGATAATTTATCTTTACAACAATATAAAAGTTGAATTTACTAAATTCAGATTTAAAATCATGTATTTCTGAGATTTTTGAGTTTTTAGTGGAATTACATATGTATATTTTTTGTGCTAAATGCATATGTGTGCATGCTTGAAATAAGAACCATTACCTTCAGTAGAGCCATCCAGCATGCTATCTCAAGCGCCTGAGCAGCTTCATCAATAATCACCAAGTCAAATGAAGTGTTATCCAGCTTGTGAGAAAATGCACCGGTCAAAGTTGTCAACACCACATCTGCATTTTTAATCACATCTGTCACAGCTAACTGCTGTCTTTTGCGCTCTTCTTTGGAAAGAGCCCGAAGCTCCTTCTGGATTTCTCGCCTTGTGTTTTTGTCCTTGGCTTTCAACAACTTCCCACTTAATGTCTAGACAAATGCAAGAGACATTCAGAGATCGTAATATAAAAAATAAATAAAATAAATAAAAAATCATTTTGTCAAGTAAGCATGCTTTTTTACACTTGCTCTCAAAGCAACTTTTAAAATACCTACTGATGATTTTTCATGAACAGCCAAAATGGATTAGCTTGTAAGGATAATGGATTCATTGTATAAAGTTTCCTCATAAAAGCTCACAGTGAATCATAAAAGTTCAACAAAAAGTACAAAGAACATTTTATTTGAATTTTACAAACATAGATAACCGTGGCTCCAACATCAAGTCTAGTTTTATACCTTCATTTCCTTCCGAATGTCATTTGCCAAAGCACTATTATCCCCTCGCAGAACCTACAGAAAAACAGAGTTTATGAGGGGCATTAACACCACAGATTAAAAAAAAAAGAAATGTCACATCCATTGACGTTGGACAGTAAGCAGGAAAGAAAGAAAGAAGGAGAGAAAGAGGAGAGAGATAGAAAGCAACTAGAACAGGGAGAAAAACAAACAGAACTCCGATTTATAAAAGGAAATGTCCAAATTTTTCATCATGTATAAAAGCAATCAATGTTTGTGACTCAAAAACAAAACATAAGATCTATTCATAATGGCCAAGTCAAACATCAAATAATAATAGTAATAAAAAACCTAGCCACTTAAATAAGTAAAGAAAACCCTACTCAAATTAGAAACTCATATTTGGAAAACTAAGTAACTTCCCTAAATCCCTAAATATATAATACTTCACTAAATCCATCTTAAATGAGTAACTTCCCTAAATCCCTAAATATATAATACTTCATAAAATAAGTAATAAAGTTTGATTTTGATTCTTGACCCACAGTACCATATTTTGCAATTAGAAGACAAAGGGTAAAGTTCTATGAATTTGTAACATGGAAAAGCGTGTTATACATACACATGCAAATCATGTGAAAGGTATGGTAATTAAAAACTTCCCTAAAACAATCATGAATATAGAATTTGACAATCAATTTCGTCTTCAAAAACTGAAGGTTTATATGTACCTGTGCATCCAATGCACTCTCCAACACTTGAGGTAGTAAACGTGCAGGATGCCCCAGTCTCACCAACTTTACTCTAAATGAAGAAGTGGTAATGTTACAGTTAACACTGAAAACTTGTTTGGGGGGTAAGAACTGATGAAATTAAGTTAGAGAAGAAATCGAATCTCCAATATATCAAATGGAAATATAGCGGCAACAAGTCATTGTGTCTGAGTACAATTGGTCAAGACAGTAGATAATGATTAACAATTGAATGGGTTATCTCCAACTCTAATAGCAAAGAAACTTCTTACATGTCCAATTGAGAAAAAGATTAAGCAAGTTTGGTGTAGATAGCTATCTAAGAATGCTTAGAAAAAATGGTTTCCCCTGGGGGCTTTATTGTGCTGCAAATCATTGTTACCAAAGAATGTTTCTCAAAGCCTACTAATCTACTATTCCACTGAAATACGAAACAAAGTTTTATTCCAACCATTTGGGATCTAGCATTGAAAATCCCCTCTTGATAAGCAGCAAAGAAAATCTAAGCAACTACATGTATGAATAATGCAGGCTTCAAAACCAATAAAGTATAGCACACTAGAAATACTCTGTAAAAAGATCTTCTAGAACATTTTTGGTTCTCAATCATTTTTTAAAAAAGCTTTTATTCATCATGAGACATATAACATTCCATACTTGTCACAGATGATATGCCATGCTGAAGGAAAAAAATAGAGCGGTACTGGTATTATAGTAAATATTAAACCACCAATTAATTAACCAATAACCCTTTTTTTACCATATTTAAGGCCAAGTCTTAACATAAAATTACCATAGTTAAAGCCAAGTCTTCACAGAGAACATTATTTCTTGATATATAAAGGTATAAAAAACCTGTGAGGAACAAGCCGCTCAACAATGTTGTCAACAGCAATATTTGAAGCAGCACACGCAAGAATCTTCGATCCACATTTCACTTCTTGTAAGATAATTTCCACTACAGTTGTGGTCTTTCCAGTTCCAGGAGGTCCATGCAGCAAGAAAACGTTCTTCGATGATAGTGCCTTTGAAATGGCATCTTTCTTGAACAAATAAAAAAAAAAAAAAATTAAAAGCTGCTTCCATTTTATTTTATTTTTATTGTTGAAAGAGGCAAGCAAGAAGCCTCACAAATGACTAACTAAAATATGTACTAGTAATAAATCTTCTAGAAAGCATAAAAACTTTAAATGCATCACTTGCACACCTGAGAGTGATCAAGGTTGGAGTTAAATGGTTTGAAGGTAATTTCCTTCTTTGACAATGTTGGCAACCTATCTCCAAATAAAACAGGAACTAAGTCGGATGCAGGTCCCTTCTGCACACCCTTACTCAATTGAATTAAGGCATCCTTCATCCTACGATATGTCACCTGCACAGAGTAATCTTTCTAGTAAGTACATATTAAGAACTTAATGACTGAAATGATCCCCCATAGACAAAGAAATGCAATTCAATATCACCCCTTTTTACAGAGTTTGTAGCTCATGGAAGACAATTTATATGGTAAATAAAAATATAAATGTAAAAATGATAAAATAACTTATTATTCATACATCTAAATATACAAATTTCTTTTTAAAAAAATGACTCCTGGAGAAAAGGAAGAAACTGAAAACATTTAAGCAAGAGATGAAAGATAAGAAATTTAAATGGTGTACCTCATTTGCCACCTTCTCCAAACGTAGAGGACTATTTAAACCCTCTTCTGGGACATCATCAAAAGCAACAGTGATTGAGGAGTCCTGTCCAATATTGAACATCAAATCACCATCACAACCATGAGAAAGAACATAAGCACCCATCATTTCGTTTCAAAATCAGAATTACCTTTAACCGGTAAACTACACCTTGTCCAAGGGCAGGAGATCCTAAATCAGCCTTATTTGGTCTTAACACAACTACATCATGGGTGCCAAACTGAACCAGGTAAACAAAAAATCACAAATCCCCACAAGAAGGATAAGCACGAATTGAAAGAAAAAGAAAAAAAAGATAATTTTCATTATAATGTAGTGAAACATTAGTGAGAATTATTTCCCGGTATTTAATAGATAAAGAAAGCATATCTCTTGTGACAGAACAAGTAAAATAAATAGTTCCCAGGGAGTGAGCATTATAAATAAGTGGTCGAATCAATCTACCGTTTGAACAAAGGCAGAAATGAAAAGTTAATACAATTAATTATAAATTTCTAAACAAAATAAATTTGCATAGATATTATTATAAGTTACAGGAAGAAAAGAAGACCTTATGAGGAGGCAAAACATCAGCTTTAGTGGATTGAAACTCGAGAAGAGTTTTTCCCATGAGTCCTGTCTATTGTCAGAATCAAATTATTAGAAACAAGGATTGATATGGTATGGTAATGAAAATAAGAAATAAAGAAAAGGGCGATTAGAACCTGAGCATCAACACATTTCAAATTAAGAATAGTGGAGCCTTTCTTTTGGGCAGTATCAAGATTTCTGGAGGCACCAGAAGTGATAGAGGCTGATATCTCAGCTTCCTGTGATACATATATATGAGAAAAAAAAAAAAAAAACAATGAAGTGAATTTGATTATATTAATTTGATTTGATGAGTTGAAGATGAAAAGAAAGAGAAAGAAAGACCTTTTCCAAATCAATTAAAGGGGACATAAGAGAGACGAATTGTTCAGGAGAGAGAGGCGATTGTCTGTTCTTCGTCTTCCTTCCCTCCATTGCTGCGTTCTGTTGTATGTGTATAGACGATGAACGCTAGTCAGAGTTTGGGGTTTTGGAGGGTTGTGTTCGTAAATAGGGAAATTATAACTTATAAGTTATAACCATTTTACTTAAGAATTTTATATTTAAAAAAAAAAAAAGATTTTTACTTTATATATAATTTTCTTTACTGCCATCTTTATCACGACGTGGGATAGGAAACTTAACTAATGTAGCTTAAAACTTGTTGGACAGAGTACAGTACATTGAAAACTTACTAAACAAAAAAAAATAAAAAAAAGATTGAATCCGTTTATATATATATAAACTATTTTGATTTTAATGCAACGGTTAGTATCAGAGAAAAATGAATTTGATTAGATGACGTAGTAAAACATTTGTTTATTTTCACTTCTTATTTCATCAAATATGTTGTTATATGATTTACTGAAAAAAAATCAGCTTTTTTGTTGTCATCCAGAAGATAAGCCAATTGGTTTTTTGAAAAATTAAGGGAGAACGACATTTTTCCATCCAAGGTTTGGCAAAATGACACTGTCCCACCCGTCAAGTTTTAAAATAACATTTGTTCACCCTTCATCAGGTTCTGTTAATATTTTACTGAAAAAATAAAAACACCCTTAAATAATTTATTTATTAATTAGTTTATTATAAATTAAAATTTAGTTAAGTCAAATTCTTTATGTAATTATTTATTAGTTTAAGTATAAAGATATCTATTTTTTTTTTTTTTTTGTTTATTTAATTAATTAAGAATATTGATATTCTATGTTAATTAGTAAAAATGAAAAACATTATAAATTTAGTACATTATTAAATAATAGTGATGGAATATTGTTTAATATTATAAATAAATAAATGTTAAAGTCGTTTAACTTTAAACAATTTAATATTATTTAGAGTAATACTACACTTACAAAGAAATTTTACAAAGATTTTTGTATATTGATGTGACAAAAAATGAATGAAAGAGTGAATTTAATGAGTTTGACTTTTTGTTTCACTCTTCCATTCATTTTTTGCCACCTCACTTTTATATGGAAATATTTATAAGATTTTTTTGTAAGTATAGTATTATTGTTTTAGGTATTGCTAACTATTTTTTTTTTTTTTAATATTTGACTTTTTAACTAATTAAAAAATAATAAAAAATTTATAAAATCAAATATTTAAAGGTATTTTTGTCTTTTTTGTAAAATGTTAACGAAAAACATAACAAAACCTACCGAATGGTGGAAAAATGTTATTTTGAAACTTGAAGGATGGGAAAGGTCGTTTCGCCAAACCTTGGGTGGGAAAATGTCATTCTCCCAAAAATTGAATTTAGGTAATATTTACTGAAGAAAACATATGATATTTTATATAGCACTAAATATGGATATTTGTTTTTGTTTGGTGCTCATCATCTATAATTCAAATAATTAAAAATATATGTGAAAAAGTTAGAAAATGACAATAAAATTTAGGTTAAGAATTAGAGGTAGAAAGGAAGAAAAATAGTAATGCTACCGTTACCAAAAATTGTGCACCAAATTTATGCATTGAATGGCATGGTAAAATCCTAACCGTTGATTTATTATAAGTTAATATTAATCAACGATCAGGATTTTGCCACATCATTCGGTGCACAAATTCGATGTGTAACTTTCGGTAACTCTATCATTTTTTGGAAGAAAAATACCCATTTAATCTAGAGATGGTAATGGGCCCGATATTTTCGGGTACCCGGCCCGGTCTGGCCCGAAAGGGACTGGCTTTACCTGAGGTTGGCAGGCTTGGGCTTGGGCCTGGACTTGATTTTAAGGCCCGACCTCGGGTACGGGTCGAGTATTGGTATATCTTTAGGCCTAGCCCGACCCGGCCCGTCCCCAAAAATTTTAATATTAATTTTACTAATTTACCCTTATACTATATATTTAATTACAATATTATCCTATATATATATATATATATATATCCATTTTTCCCAAACCCTAACCTCAATTTTCATCCCATATTGAAGGTTTAACATGTTAAAATTACCTTTAAATGAGTTAGATGAGTTTGGTTCAACTTATAAAAGTGGATTTCACCATAACATATTATGCACAGTTGAAAAGTTAGTATAATCAAATATTATAGAGTTTTAATTGCTCAATTATTGCTTAAATTATTTGCGAAAATAACTTCAATTAATATTTAAAAACTATTTCTAAAATTTAAAATATTAAAAAAATTTAAAATTTATTAATATTTTAAAATAAACATTATTAAAAAAGGTGGGCTTGGGCCAAGCCTGCGATTATAAAAAACCCTGTCAGGCCGGACTTGGGCTTTGCCTATCATACCCGTAACGGACTCAGACCGAGCTTAGACCTGTGTCATGAGGTCGGGCTTGGGCCTAGGCCGAGGGGTACCCGGTCCCGACCCGACCCATTGCCATCACTAATTTAATCAGTTTACTTAATAACGAAATACACAATCAGATTAAAAGAAAAAAACCCTTTCCTTACCAGAAATTCATTCTCATGAATCAAACATCATCTAAGAAAAAATTCAACTGCTCAAAAAATGATTGTAAACTTTCACCGACCTTCAACTGTACATCGATGACTCCTTGTGCTCTAATACTACATCTGACCATCCATAACTACTGAACTAGAATAGTTAAGCTTAAAATGAGAAAAAAAAAAAAAATTTCCCCCAAGCAATCACATTAAACAAAATTTCTTCCTATGGCTCAACAAAATTTCCTCATGTAATAATCATAATTATAAATTATTATCCATTGTAACCTCGAGCATACAATTGTTACATCAAATTCATCTAAATTTAACTACTAACCCATAAATAATCTCTCGTAATGGAGAACAATTTCTTCCAAAACTGAAAGCTTCAAGTAAACTCATCGCAAATGGAAATCTACTGGAACAATGTGAGTAAATTATCATGTTACTTGTATATAAGAGCATCACGTCCGGGCCCAACACCAATGTAGTGAACAGGCACACCAACAATTTCCTCTATCCTCTCCACGTACTGACGTGCAGCCTTTGGAAGGTCCAAGTAATTTCTGATACTTGAAATATCAGACTTCCATCCAGGTAAAGCTTCATATTCGACCTGCACATTTTGAATGAAAAAGAAAATAAATTACTATGACTTTTTCCAAGGTCTTGGCTCTTAAAAGTCAACAGGAACAGAACAACTACAACATGGTTTCTAAAAACAAGTCCAATAACTTCAAGAGTCATCGAATCTGCATTTGCAACACACTGTCAAAAATCATAGGAAATATCTTTATCCTGAGCAAATACTTAAGCTATCAACTGTCTTTTTGTTGTTTAGGCAGTTCATAAGAAGAAAGGAAAATCAGCAGATGACCTTTTGTTCTTACGTTGCATCTATTATTTGAAGGCTTCGAATCCGTTTCAACCACAATTGCCCATGAAATACTCATAAAGCCATCTTAATTTTGCTTATCGAAATTCAGACATGTAATGCAAGGGGGTGTAATTTGAAGTTGGGAAGAATCAAACTTGCCTTCAATTGCTCAAGCGAGAGAAGATCAGCAGGGAATGATTTAACTGGTGTACCATCAGCTTGTTTATAGGCAACTCCCAGCTGAATTTCAGGAAGTTCCGACAAAACATCCAGCTTGGTAAGATTCAGAGAAGAAAAGCCATTAATTTGACAACTATACTTCAATGCAACTACATCAAGCCAACCACAACGTCGAGGACGACCGGTAGTTGTGCCAAACTCCTGTCCAGCAAACCTAAGGAGGTCACCTCCTTGACCCAAGATTTCTGTAGGGAAAGGACCAGATCCAACCCTTGTAGTGTACGCTTTAACCTGCATGGAAAAAATACCCGCGAAGATTGAGGAACTTGAAAAGGCCACACATCGAACATGCTTTTCATTTTCCCAGGCTACATGAATATTTAATTTAAAAACTATTAGTTAGTTTTATGTCTCCTTAGAAAAATATAACACCAAATATTCCCAGAGCAACAGAGCTTGCATATTTGAGAGAAAGTAGCATGCAATCAAACAAACAACAGTTAATACAAACAGCTTTTATATTAAAGACATTCACAACAATAATCTAATGAAGTGCAAACGCTCTCCAAGTTTCACAGAATTGACAATTTAGGAAGGATGATGGTATTGAGCAAAGGCAAAAATATGGTTTAAGCAACAATTCCAACCCGAGCGTTGATCTATAGATTGTGGGGCTGAGTTTATTCCCATTTAAAAAAAAAAAAAAAACAGAAACATTGCCTATTTAAAATGAAATAGAAACCAAAATTAATAGATCAATGAAGCATCAACTTACAACTCCAATTAGATCACCAACAGCTCTTGGAGCAATGCCAAGACCCGTGCAAATCCCACCAGCTGATGGGCTAGAGGAAGTTACGAAGGGATAAGTTCCAAAGTCAATATCCAACATAGTTGCTTGACCACCTTCAACAAGAATGTTTCGCTTCTTTGCAATCGATTCATTCATGAAATGCACGGTATCAGTAATGAAAGGCTCCAACCTCTCTGCGAATCTCTTGTATCTTTCAACTTCATCCCTGAGCATGTCCGGTCTATAATTAAAACCAGGGAATCTTGAAGCTGCATCTGATAATAAAAGATCAAGCTTCTGAGGGAAAGTATCCATATGCCTCAGGTCACTTACTCTAATACCATTGCGAATCACCTTGCTCGAGTAAGCTGGTCCTATTCCTCTCCTGGTAGTGCCAATAAACGATTTAGCAAGCTCACCTTCTCTAAGTCCATCTACTTCTTGGTGAAAATCAAAGAGAAGATGAGCACGATCGGATACCAATATCCTTCCCTTGCAAGAGACCCCATTAGCCTCCAGGCCATCAATTTCCTCGAACAGACCCGGAAGATGCACCACAACTCCATTTCCAATAACACATATAGTTTCCTCATTGAGAATACCGGAAGGAACAAGGTGAAGAGCAAACTTCTTTCCCTCTGAATTGTAGATGGTGTGGCCAGCGTTAGCTCCACCCTGTGATAAGAAATATCAGCAGCCCAGAAAGCTTAAAATTACAGCAACCAGAAACAACAAAATCTTTATAGGAAGAGTGGAAACATAACTTCTCACCCAGTGAAATGCTAAAAAACATGCAATTGACAACGGAAGTATATTATCAATTAATCGCCAAGGTTTTCAAAGTTTCCCTAACAGCCCAACAGCTAAAAAACCCACACCAAAACTAGCTTCACTCACCTCACAGTAGGTTGCATGTATTCAAGTGCATGTTCAAAAAGCTTCCCAATCTTATTAAGAGGGCAGGTAATAAAAGGAACAATTTTTTGTTCGAAATTAACAAAAACACACTCTTGCCAGTATACATGAGAACGCAAAGCAATATAAAGTTCACATGTTTTTTATCCATAAAAAATATGCAGTAAAGCTTTCTGTAGAGGCTCTTAAAAAAAATTTCTCAAAAAGCACTACTTGAAGCGTGCAAAGTAACGCTTTTAGAAAAGCACTTTTCAAGTGCTTCTCTACAACAAACACTTGGACAACTTGTGGCAATTTCAGAGAGAAGGAGAATAATTACTTGGCAGCGAGCGACGATGTCGAAGTGTTGGGCTAAAATATCGACAAGTTTGCCTTTGCCTTCGTCACCCCACTGGCACCCCAACACGCCGGAAACTTGACTCAGTGACTCGATTCGACTCGCTGACTCGTTGGCCGTCAGGGTCAACGACGACGCGGCCGCCCGTAGCTCAAATGCGACGACGTTGGGACAGCGGTGGGGGTGAAGAACGGGCCTGGGCTGGGAGGCCCACTTGGGGCCGGTAACGGGAGCGGAGGAGCAGTTGAGCTTAAGCGAGGAGAGGCTCATCATGTATTTGTCAAAGCGTCCGAGTGAAAGCGAGGTGTTTCAAAAAGACAAGAGGGAGAAAGGGGTTTATGAAAGTGGGGATTGAGGACTTGTGATGTGGGGATTGCGTTGAGTTGACGCCAGTTGTGGGGTTGGTGAGGTGAGATTGGTTTTGTCACAGCCAGTTAAAAGTACCCAGTTGGACTGCTACCCTGGGTATTAGTAGTATAGTACAGTCTTTTGATTTTAAAAAGCGGAACGATTTGCGTATACCCAAAGTTTATCGTAATAATAAATTGGTACCTAAAAGGTTTGAAAATAATAAACAGGCACCTTCCGCCATGTGCGGTTAGTGATTTATGCTTGTTAATAGTGAAAATACTAAAATGCCCTTAAAAGTTTGATATTTTAGTTTTTTTATAAATTTAAAAATTTCTAAAAAACTCCCTAAGTTTGCTAATTTAACTAAACAACCCCATATATAAAAAGTTTGTTAAATAACAAAAACACCCCCACCACCCGCAATGCCAGATTCCAGCCACCACCATCAGAAACTGGCCGAAAAATTGCGTTACGACACGGACCTGTCGGATCTATGTCGTAACGTGTCGATCTGGTCATCGAGACAACAGATGGAGTTTTGCGGCCTCGACGGCCAGATCAGGCCTTTTCCAGCCAGATCCATGGCTGATCTAGCCGAAAAATGTCAGATCTACGGTTAGATCTGGCCGTCGTGGCCTCAAAACTCCATCTACGACGTCGACGGCCAGATCTGGTCGTAGATCTAGCATTTTCCGGTCAGATCAGCCACGGATCTGACCAGAAAAGGCCAGATCGACACATTACGACACAGATCCAACAAGTCTATGTCGTAACGCAATTTTCGACCAAATTCCGGCGGTGGTGGCTGGAATCTGGCACTGCAGGTGGTGGGGGTATTTTTGTTATTTAATAAACTTTTTATATATGGGGTTGTTTAGTTAAATTAGCAAACCTATGGGGTTTTTTAGAAATTTTTAAATTTATAAAAAACTAAAATATCAAACTTTCAAAGGCATTTTAGTCTTTTAACTGTTAACAAACAGATATCACTAATCGCACATGACAGAAGGTATCTGTTTGTCGTTTTCAAACCTTTTAGGTACCATTTTGTCGTTACAACAAATCTTGGGTATGCACAAGTCGTTTGGCCATTTTAAAATTGAGCAATTTATAGATGTTATTCACTTTTTTGTTAAATTATTGAAGATTAATTATTTTTATTTTAAGGTATGCGATTTGAATAGATTCATTGAATTTAAATATAACTTTTGATAATGACAATCACTTTTAATGCTTTAGGAATTTTCAAAATTCGGACACAATATGCAGTCACCGTGTACTAATTTAGTACCATATATGCAATAGATTCATTGAATTTAAATATATTTTAACCGAGAAATGCGATCACTGTGTATTAATTTACCTATACCAAATACATTCATTGGATTTGAATGTAGAATAACTTGAGAATAGGTTTTGTCTTTAGTCCAATAACAAAATTTCCGGTAAGATTTCAGAAATAATATAAATCTTTTTATCATTAGTATATCATGATAGGTTAATAAATAGTTAATATATTGCCCTTCTAATAATTTATTTTAACACAAAAAACTTAAGGACTTTTTGTTATGTAATTATACCTTAGAGAAATTATTGTTATAAACGCATTGTGAATTTATTTTGTGCATCATGTTACAATACATCCTGTTGACGAGAGTTTATGATATTAATATGAGTGAAATACTCATGTTTTCATTTATCAAAAAATGCATAATAAATATTATATCAAATTATCAATAATATAAAGCCTGCTCCAATAAATGAAATATTTACCAAATTATGCTATAAATTTTCAGGAAAGAAATCAACAGGAGACAAACCAGCAAATCAGAAGCATTGATTACAAAGAAACCATAAGTGCCTGTAAAATTACAATTACAAGTACGTTGCTAAAACATCATTTTTTTTCCTATAACGATTATGGATTTTTTTTCTAATAAAAGCATTACCAAAATTGTACTCCTAAGTCCTAATAACATAATAATCCCATCATAACAAAAATCTGGTGGGGAGAGATTTGGAGTAAGAAACAGGAGCCTGATTTCTTTTGCTTTACGTTTCTGTCTCACCTAGAGTCAACGGTGGGTAGAGTCAACGGTGGGTTGTACCGTGCTGTACCTAAAATTTCAAGACTCTTCGTGCCGTAAGCCATGCTGTGCCAAGGCCTTCAAAAATCCGTGTCTTGTCGTGCCATGCTAGCCCACCAAACCTGAAAGCCCACAACACGATCGGTTATATATCATGTCATGCCCACTGTTTTAAAAACCGGACCAGATCGGGAATCGGTCACGTGTCCGGTTCGAGTCAACACCAAAATCGCCATAACGCAATGAGCCGCTTTAAGCCATTTCAAAATCGGATTAATTCAGTGAACCGCCGGTCCGCTGATAAATCGGTCAAAATCTTAAAAACCCTTAAATCCCTAATACGCAATCGCAACCCTTTCTCTGTTTCTCATCTTCTTCTCTTTCTTAATTTCTTACGAAAATTTCTCAGCTTCGTCTCTGTTCTCTGTGAAAATTTCTCACCTTCTTCTCTGTTCTCTACGAAAATTTCTTTTTGAAATCCCACCCAAATCGCAACTGAACTCTCTGAAATCGACGACGACATCTTCCTTCCTCGCCAGAAATCGACAACGACAGCTCCGTTCCTCACTGGAAATCAACGGCGACAACTTCATTCGTTGACGACAGCTCCATTCCTCGATCCAGGTAATAAACATGCCATTCCTCGATCCAGCTTCAATAATCAATAATGATTTCGTTGCAAACTTTATCCGGAGCAATGTGTATGTCAGTATGTGCATGTTCCAGATTATGTGTATCTGCATGTATTTCCCGATTATGTATTTGAATTCACCTTGCTCCTGCTCCTGATTTTGTTTTTCTTTTGCTGGCTAAAAGCAGAAAGACTTTTTAAAGTGACCTCTTTCTTTGTGCAGGTTGGTTCAGCAGACCATCACATCCATTACTACGATTTGAGAAACATTAGCCAACCACTCCATGTTTTCACTGGGCATAAGAAAGTTGTTTCGTATGTGAAATTCTTGTCAAATAATGAACTTGCTTCTGCATCTACAGACAGCACACTACGGTTATGGGATGTGAAAGAGAATCTGCCAGTGAATAATTATTGCTTTAACCAAAATTATCATGTAGATAATCCTTTCATTTGAAGTTTGCATGCCCATTTGAAGTTTGGTTTTGGAAGCAGTGAGACCGGGACGAAATTGATAGAAGTAAAATCATGAAGTGCATTTTGCAAATCACAAAAAGGAAATTCAAATTAAGCTCATAAACGAAGGAAAGATTTTTTCTTCTTTTATGAGCTTAATTTCGTTTATGTACTGTAGTTAGCTTAACTTTTATTAATATACTTTATGTTTTACTTGAATATTTCTTTTACTAGAGTTATTTTATGTGCAACTATCAACTGATTTTGTGGTATGTTTGTTGCTAAGTACTTATTGTACGTGCATGTATTTCCAGATTATGTATTTGAATTCCGTACTTGAATGTTTATGTTTTACTTCTATTGTATGTTTGTGGATGGAATAAGGACTTATGACGACAGTATGGAATCATGATGTGTGATGACGTCACTAGTCCAACCGGTTGAACCATGACTCGGCCATCAGAGCGGGTTGCCTTCTGGTCCGATTTTTAAAACAATGGTCATGCCAAGACTTGCAAAAATCTATGTCTTATCATGTCGTGCCGACCCACCAAATGCGAAGGCCTCCAACACGACCTGCTATATATTGCGCCGTGTTGTGGGCTGACCTACGTGCTTTGTAAAATTTTTAATATTTATAAATTATGGTAATTTTGATTTATTATTAATAATTATGATAAAAATATTTTATATGTTATATTTTAATTACATTTTGTATTTGTATTAATTAAAAATATATATATAATCACAACAAAATGTAATAAAATAGCGAGACATTGAAATATTAATAGAATTTAAACATTTTTTATTACTTATAAGTTATAATTATAAATTACAAATAAAACCTTAGAAATTAGGATTAAGAATTATTATATATCTTCATTTTCATTAATTTAAAAAATAATTATGATAAAAATATTTTATATGATAACTAACGGCATGCTGCTCCTTTTCCAGGCTGTCTAGTACTGTTTAAGTTTCATTCTCCAAAGGAAAAAAGAGATCAGTAATTCTCAGTTTATTCTCACCTCCCGAGTCTTTCAGCCGTTGGCAATCTCTTCAATTCAATTTCCAACAACCGTATAGTTCTTCAGTTTGCTTTTATCAAACATTCTTGTGGTACGCCGAAGTCTTTCTTCAAATGAAGAAGTTGTCGCCTCCAAGGGTCATTATGTAACTTATAGTGAAGAATCTGTTAAAGCAAGGATAATAGATCAGTCAGCTTGAGATACACACGTCAATCTCCATCAGTCAATTAAGTGTCATTACCAAGTTAGCACATTCCCAACCCAACACCTATGTGATACATGGAATCCAGAGAAGAGAGTGCCAGAGAAAGAGCAAGAAGAAAATCTTGAATTCACTAAACTGTTAAATGGAAGTTATAGAATCGTGTTTATGCTAAGAAAACACTGTACCCAAAAGCTTAACTTATAAGTTAAAAGCCTAACCTTAATAGTTAAGTCTTAACAATTTACAAAAAATTCAAGACTAATCCACAGCCTTGAACTGATCATCATGCCTTCAACTCATGCTCCATCAAGCAGCAGTTATGTTGACCTTATAAATCAACCACCTATGAAGTTAATTATTTCCCTCCCAGAATATGCAACTTGTATATGGGTCAAAGATAATTAAAGGTACACTGGCCAACAAGATATCTAGTGAATATTCATGAGTAATTGTATTTTTCTTTTACATAAATGGTTTAAGTGATCAAAATGAACCAATCCAAACTTCTTTGTACTCGATATCAATTCATAACCATGAGCAAGCTTTTGCTTCATCAAGAAATAAGCATCAGCCCTCAGGGACCTTGCATATCTATGAGTTATCAAGTTATTACTTCAAAATATGAAGAACAAATTTTCCATTTCAAGAATGTCACTAGTATATTGCCAATAACTATAATTTGAGTAAAATTAATATGCCCCGTATTCGTCATAGGAGGGAGAATACCTGTACAAATGTGGTGAAAGCATCATCTTCCCTTAATTTCAAGAATTCAACCGCCCAATCATCCACATGACGAGTAGCAGCTTTTTGTCTCTCAGCTTCAAGCAAAATTGAATCACGATACAAGAACCTCTGCCAAATTTTCTGTACATTTGCTAACTTAAATTGTATTTCTGTCTCATTGAACCCCTACAGGATGTAAAGCCACCAGCCAGTTAATGCTTCCAACATTCAGTTATATGACTTGCTGGATGCCTATTTACTAACAAATGCATAAAGATTTTTACCCGAAGAATATTCATCAAATTTGGGATTTCATCTTCACGTATTCGAACAGCAAAGCTTTCATAGTTGAACACGTTCTCATAAGGCAGGAAAATCCCATCCTAAACACGAGGAGATAACATGGAATAAACATGAACGTACGTAATTACCATTTAAGTATCATTCAATTCTAAAAGAGAAAGGAAAGGTAAAAAACCAAAGCCAAGGGTATCAAAAATGTAAACTTGCATTGTATCCTCTACTTATGTAATAACCCATCAAAACTTTAAAAAATATCTACAATTAAATACCAGATACAGAAACATATCTTAATGCTAGACATGTAAAGTTCATATACAAAGTAATGCTCACAAAATAAATGGAAGTGAATATTGTAAGTCAAATCAATAAATGAAAATGAATGACATCGCAATAAAAGAGTAATGCCACATCATTTTATATATAAGAGTTGAACACAAACTTTGTATCTACATCACTAATCTATTTTCTAAAGTAAGAAAAATATAATTACAGCTAGCCAGGCGGACAACCCCTTCGACAATCCTGAGATCTCGAAACTAATAATGGAAACCCAAGTTGTTTCAGTATCCTAGGCCGGATGCAGAAATATAAAGATAACTTATCATCTATCCTTATATTGTTGTACTGTACTATTAATGGTTTTAAACATAGTATCAAAGCCTAAAGGTCTCATGTTAATAGTTCTTCAAAAGATTCCACAGATCATCAAATAACAAAAGGCCTAATCTTGGAAATCCATAAAGTCCAAAGTCACTGTTAGAAAGATTTCTTGACTGGTTGGAAGCTGCTTCCTTAAAGCCATAGGTTGTCCAGCAGCTTACAGATTACCAAGATTTAACCAAATAATATGCTTGATGTTCACAGGATTACTGCACTGAAAAGAGAGATGAAATGCAGAGTCTCACTACCTGAATGACAACAGGAATGCACCCTTGCAAAACACTATCTTCCATACGACCACTCCACCCATCCCCAGGCAATACCCCACAAAAAACAGAAGTGGCTAAATCCCCATGATAATTATCAGAACGAAGCGGTGTGACAATTACATCTTCAGCATGCTGTCTTCCAAGCTTACCTTCCTTGTTAGGGCTTGAGCCAAACTCTTCTGCCAATTTCTGTCTAATACCCATGCTATACCTGCATATATAGCATGTAAATAAGATTATAGATCCTTGCAGCCATATAAAATGTGTATCATTAACTATCAAGGAAATTGGAAATTCCAGCAGATCACTCAAGACCATGTTATTAAACATGAAGGAGAAAGACCAAATAACAGATTTTTTCTATTTTTTTGGTAAGGCCCACAAAATTATTTCCGAGAACACCTTGTTTTAGGCATAGAAATTGAAAATGGAGAAATAAAAAAGTAGCTTATTCTGTTCATTTCCCTCAAATTATTTGAAATGACCCATTTCAAGATATTAAAAACAGCTTCTTTTTTTTTTTTTTTTTTTTAACTTACGTATCTTCTGGTCTTCCATTTGCATAAGCAGGTCCAAGATTTCCATTGAAGAAGAACAGTGTCTTCCGCTTCTCATGAGGACTGAAAATAAAGTTGTTTCCTATTTAGCTTTTATGTTAAATTTTCTATACTCTTCACAAAGCAAAAATATGGATATAAAATGGGCATAATTAGACTAAACCAATAAGACATTTACTTTGCCCAAAGTTTGGACTTCAAGGCAGTAACATCAGGACGTTTCCAAGCAGGAAGCACAAGATCCTTTTCAGGGTCAAAACATGTGTGGTTGCCTCTTCTACTGGAAGAAATTTTATCCCAGTTGTCAGCCCAATAGGCTGTTGTTGAGTGATTATGCTTTGAATTTGTATTACCCCAGTGAACCAACATCATACTGCTCCAAATCTCCTTTGGGGCATAGCAAGCACCTTCATCCCATGAAAAAAACTGCCTTCAAATGTAAAGGTGAAATCATTAGCATACTCACTAGTAGATGAACACAGATCAGTAAAAGACAATAAACATTCTCTCTCCTAAATTTTCATCACACTTGCGATAAGTGAACCCTTATACATCATACCCAAATATGGTCTCGTCCTGAAGAATGGTTCCAATAAGGATAATGCTCAACAATGTGATCATATGCCTTCTTATAAAATTCCAGAGTGAGAGAGCTCCTCAAGCCCCGGTGTTGCTGAAATCATTGAATAATGTATAAGAAAACAAAAATATAGCCTCTTGTATAGGCACCCAACATTCACATACCTATATAATATAAAAATAACATTCCCGCTATTAGGTTGCATATACCTACATAATTATGTTAGGCCTAGTAACAGGACCTAGGGTTTCCTAAGTTTATATTGCTTACATCAAACTTATTCCAAATGTCATTGTATTAATTGAATTCAAGAACTATTTAACACCTAACAATGGAGCCTTCTAAGGCAAGCTATATAAATAGTTTGTACACCAAGGTGCCAGTAGGGTGCGGGGTGCCAGGTTGGAGGAAAAGACATCTTGTAGAGAATAATCTCTAAATATGATAACACACTCTCAAAAAAACCTGGAAAGAGGAATTTGTCTATATTACAACTATTAAGATGAAATATGTGAGTTCCACAAGACCATCAAATACCATTTATATTTAATGCAAGATTTATGCACACATTATGATATACAACCAACCACACAAAAAGGTTTCACCATTCATCACCTTTCATAGGTCAAATATGTGTAATAAATAACTATATGTTTATAGAATACACTTATAACAGTTTTAAAAGTCCAACCTGCATACCCAAGTGGGGGGCATCATCAGCACGAGTAATGATACACGAATCAAGAACCGGGACAAAGAAATAGTCAGCTTCTTCACCATTTAGTGTTCGATGTGGACTAGCTAAAATATTTTCATAGAATGCCATCTGCAAATGAGCAGCATAACAACCAATGAGCAATTTTGTGTCATAAGTTGACAAAATGGCAATCTATTCAAGGAATACCTGGGCACCATACAGCTCTTCTGTCCATATTGTTGCATTATGTCCATCATAGATTCTGTTTACACACTCTAACTTAAAATGTCTCCCCTACAATACACAATAAATCAATAAGTTTGCCTTCGGCATGTAAAATATAGCTCATCATGTCTTGGAGGAAGATTACTAACAATATTATTGTGCACATTCTAACCTCAAGGAGTAGGCTGTTGAACTCTGGGGGCAAATCATAAACATAAATAAGGGGTCTTTTCTTCTTCACTGTAGCATTAAGATTGACAAGATTCCTCGTGAGATTTGCACTGCTGGGAATATCAATCTGAGCTGGCAGAAGCCACTGAGGCCATTCTCTTACAGATGATGTAACAGATGGAATACTGCAATCTGTTCCATACCAGCCGTTGTCACACTGAAGATATATACTAAAATTGAGTTAATTTTTTCTTGTTTCTGATCATTACTCCTTGAAAAGTTTAACACATAACCTTTAAAGTCCACTGTTTTAAGACTTTTCATGCAGTGGTAGGTTAAGATTAATCACCTCTTTTTCATCCTAGTATCAGCTATGCATTCTTACATGATAAGAACGGAATGGGAGGCATTAAGGAAATTTGTATCCATGATTGTTTGTATTATTCACAACATTGATAAACACTTTAAGTGCCTTTGTGCTAATTATCTACTTTTGCCAATAAATATAAGGTGGTGGACAATTTGTTTTCATTCTAACTGATGTGGGATGCCACCATTCATAAACATAAAAAGAAAAAGAATAAAAAAGTTACCTGACAAAATCCACCACGACAATGTCCATGCCCAGAGCATTGATTAACACAAGTGCATAGCACAGGCACTTCACAGAACCGCCCCCAGAGACCATCATATTTGCAGTCACATTCTTCTTTAAACAGCACATTCGTTGCATATGCTTCCTTTGGGTCCACATTACACCAACCTGGCTTGCTAACATTTGTCGTGTAAATGTTGTCCAGGTCAGCTTTTGTCCAATCAGTCAACTTGGGAGCACCAGGTTCAGAAGGTAAGCTGAAAGATACTTTTAACACATAATGTTTTGGGATAAAGAAGACAATGAAAATCTAGAAGTAACCTAAGTGAGGAATCTGCATGAACTTACTTCACTTGAAAGCCACATGCCTCAGCAACAGGACGATTCGGATATTTTGTTCCTTCTCCACAGAAGCACATTGCTCTAGTTGTGTCACAATAAGTGGGGCAAATTGAAACAACCCATCTCCCATATGGTTGTTCTGGTGTTTTAGGGTAATTGCAGTCCAACTGCAGTCTCTCAGAGCATCCTTCTCCTGCTCCATCAGCAGACATCATTTAACTGATAACTACAACTAGAAGAGCATATATTGTGAATAATCTATTTTCTTTGGCTAGCTCATATATTTTCATTCTCTATATTCATATGAAATAGTTTCAGTGAAATTGGCAGCCAAATTCTAAATGAAACTTCAACCATCTTCTCACATCTATATTGGCCAAAAATTTGTCACTAAGTTCTATCATTTTTCTAATTGGCATTCTCACTGCATTTTAACTCCCCATCACATAGAAAAACTACATAGATGATTCTATATCCTCAAGGTTTTTACTTGGTCACTAAAATGTAGAAATTGAGACAGAAGAATTATTTAAGTATGAAATAAGTGTACGAAATAAGAATGATGCACTTAAAAAAAATCATAAATGTTTTAAAGTCAACCTTCAAAATGCAATATATTTCGAGGTCACACAAAATCAGTTGGTGAACAAAATTTTAGTCCACCAATATCATTTATTATATTGTAAACTAGTTTCTTCATGATACAAAGGAATTCAATTGCCTTATTAAGTAACAAAGATGATGAGATGGACATGGAACCTTATTCCAATTGCTCCTCTCTACTCAAATCTATTTATCGAATAACTAATACCACTGATGTCTGATGATGAAGCTATCAGGAAAGTTCTCCATTCATCTATAAATAATCCCCACCCCCGCAAAAAATTATTAATAATAATAATAATAATAATTAAAAATTAAAAAACAAATAAGGTACTAACCACTAAATCCATGAAAACATCGACATTGTCCCAATTCACGATTACAAACACCTTGGCCACTACAATCATTTTTGCAGTTCTTGCCACCTATCATCTGCAAAATGACAGATTAATCAGGAACGGCAAAAAGTAAATCACCAGGATGTAACCGAAGCAATGCAGCCTCAACCTATCAATTTTACTAGCAGCCCAAAAGATATTACAAAAAGGAAATTACTTGTCCGAGAGCCAAGGGACAAATCTGTAATGAAAAGATTAACACCAAAATACACATGGTAGAAAACTTAACCCCAACTCAACAGCAACTAAACAAAGCCACACTGTTACTATAATAATACAAATAAAAGTATGAATAAAGGTACAAAGTACAAACAAGTTAATATTATCAGTACCTCAACGATCTTAGCTTCCTTCGTGATCGCGTCACATCCCGAAAGCCAGCGTCCAATATCAGCTTTCCAGGGCGCATTACGATAAACCACCGCATTGTGCAAGTCAGCCGGAAACTCGCGCTCCAAATCAATAGGCGGTGGAGCGGAAACACGGCTGGTCTCACCTTGAAAGGAGCCGTTAACCGGAACACAGGAGTTCTGAACTTGACGCGCACTCAAGTAATCCAACGAGGGCACCAGAGGAAACAAGAACAAATGAACCACTGAAACCAGTGCCAAAATTGAAGCAACTGCAGCTACTAAAGACCACGAACATTTCAATTTCTGAATTGAAAACATTACTCTTCTTCTCTGAACTCTCAATCTCTACAAAATAAAATAACAAACAAATTATAAATTAAGCTCTAAAAAAATACCACAGTTTCGTAAAATTAACGTCGAAAATGGAAGGAAAGTGAACGTGAGGGAGATTTGGTCAGCAGTAAAAGTTGACTAACCTCTCGCCAGATCTGTGAGTGAATAATCTGAAACTAAAGCGCTTCCAACATCGAAACATGACTTTAGAGGAGGAGAGAGACGGTTTACCAGGTAATCTCCAATTATATTTAAATTAATTGGTTAAATAATTGTTAATTATGATAATAATTGGAGAAGAAGAAGAAGTGATTTGTTAAGAGTTATGGCCTAACATGAGAGAGAGAGCCGCGAAGACTCTCGCTAGGAAGTTTGAACGTCAGCCATAAAACTGTACTGCAATTGCCCTGTCTACCAGACAATGTGTTGTCGTTATGTTGAGGGTAGTTTTGTAAATTTGATCAGTTGGTTTTAAGTGTTGGAATCTTGATGGTGTTGTGAAAGTTGACAGTTTTGTTTGGCAACCCATCGTGCACGGTGTATTTTTCTTAATGGAAATAATTATATTCCAACTGACACTTATTAGTAAATTTGAGATGGGATTCATTTTCCTTGATCTTAGGGTCAGTAAGTCAAACAAAATAATTAAAGTTGTGAAATTGTTTAGATCAAATTATGATACCATACCATACCATACCATAATTCTAAATGAGAAAGACTGTTTTGGTATAAAATATGATTGTGGATTGCAAATGGGTGCAGCTAGCTGGCAACTGCAAATGGAGTCGAAGTTGAGTTGATTTACATGAAGATCTCAATATTAAAATGTGAGAAAAGATTCCCATCTCATTTTAATCAATTGGAATGCCTTCGATGCCAATTGGCAGAGGCACAACCGTGTCAACATGTAACTACCTTCAAAACAACATGCTCCCAACGATCATATTTACATAAAACGACATTCCTATGTGCCAAATTTGATCTATGAATCTCAATATATTACATATATATTTATCCGCAATGGAGAATGGGTATGGATGGCCTATCCCCAAACCCTAATTATATTGTAAACCTGAGGGCAAAACACCCTCCAATGAGTTCCCTGCAATTCTGTTTCTTTTGTGTTTCAAGATTGCCTTTCTTCAACCACAAGCAAAGGCCTTCTCTCTTTTTTTTTAACTTTCTCCGTCTTCATCTCACCCAAAACACCACCAGAAACTTTCTCTGATGATCCTTTTTTCAACCCATTTCTTGCCAGTTTCTTCAACTCAGCACAGAATTCAGTTATCTGGCTCAAAACCTCTCGTCCTGCAACCAAATTACGCGCCGAAAAAGTACTCTTTAGCCCCGGTGGTTTCCTCTCTTGTTGCGATGGATTGCCATGTGAATCCTCTCTTTGTTTCTTCTCCTCCTTGTTTTCCTTGTAATTTAAAGGTGGGGTAGTCAAGTTCGGGTTCAGATTCTCATTGTCTTCATTAGATTTGTATGAAGACTTAGTAGCTTTCGTTTCCATACTGGGAGTTTCAGCTGATGAAACATTAATTTCTTTCTCTTTTTGCTTCATATTTCTAATACAAAATTAAGTAAAACAAAAGAGAAAAAAAAAAATCATTATATTACCATGATTGAAATGGCTACTTATTTATAATCATTGGATCGTTTACATTCATTATTTAGGGTTTATATATTACCTGCGTTCCCTGAAAGGAAGAATTTCAGAGATAGTCCTAGACCGGAGAAACTTCACCTGAAAAATAAAAAATCAATCAATAAAATGAAAATGAAAATAATTTATTTTTTCAAATATAAAGACAGAATTAGAACCATTTTTTAACAGATTAAGAACACAAAAATAATTGAAGTTTAAATTAATTGAGATCAAACATAAATAAATAGAAAAGGAGGTTTGCTTTATTGCAACCTTGAAATTACGAGTTGGTTTAAGAAAATCTTCAAATATCTTAGGGTGTTTGCAATCTGCAACCAAAAAAAGAAAACAAATCTCATAATAACTAAAATCGGAAGATTAAGAAATTAGAATTCTAGTTTGATTTTCTTAGCTACCAAATAAAGGGTCATTTAAAAACGGAAACGCACGAGTTTTGCAGAACCAGATATCGTCGTCGACAGGTTCGGGTGGAGCCGAGAGGTCGACCCATTTGGGTGCATTGATGTTCTCGTAGGCGGAGTCTTCTTCGAATACAGATTCGATGTTGCTCCAGTCAATGTTTTCTGGCTCCATTTTGGTTGAAAATCCTGAAAAAAGTAAATTAAAACAGAAGTTAAAGGTCGTAAAATTGTGAAGTGAAGGTGATGGACAAAGAAATTGAGACAACAATGAATTGGGTAAGAGTTTTTCAGTGATTTTGAGAGTGACGAGGAAGAGATTAAGCGAGTGAAGTTGCAGAAATGAAGGTGGATCATATGGAGATCGGAATTTAGAGCTCGATTCTGTAACGTCTAAGAGACTTATTTTCGACCGTTGTACTAATTTTTTCTTTATATAAGAAAAAAAAAAAGTGTTATTACTTTTTTTCTAATAAAAAAGTTGTGGATTAATTTGAATCCTTTTATGTTGTTTTGTCAAAATAAAAGCACCTTAGTTTTATTTGGGCAAAATTTATGGACCCATAAAAGATTAGCAAATTACATTCAAAATCAGTAAAATAATTATATTTTAAAACAACAATTTCAAAGTTGTACTTTATAATGTGGCCTTGACTTTCTTCTTTTCCTTTTTGAAAATTGATATAATACCATCACAATGTACCATGATATCGTAGTCGTGGAGGTAGGTACTGGAAACTCTCTTGTAATTGTCATTATAATGGAGTAATTTGAGCTTGGATTAATAGAAATTGGGCTTTGAAAAGTTTGCTATCCTCATAAAAGAACTTAGGCCTTTCATTAAAACATATCATTAATACATATGGGCCTTTAGAGACTGTAAGGTTACAGTTCTAGTTGATACCAATATGGGCTTTATGGCCCAAGGTTATTACTCTTTCAAAGTCGAGAAGTCATAAACGATCATAAGCCAGCAATACTCATAATAAAACTTATTTCATTCACTTTCGTCAAGGAGGAAGTAAGGGATTGATTTTTAACCCTCATTTTCAATTTTAAGTGAGGTTTTTGTCAAAATGGTATTTAGATAGAAGAAAAGAACATGGAAGAAGAAGTATTGTATTCGTTGTGTCTTTACATGTACAATATTGCTTCTTCATATACAAAAAAGAAAGTCTATAAGTATGGTAAAACAATATTACAATTGTTGTAAATCCGTCCTGATTGTTATAAGTCAGTGCTGTAATTGAGGTTAAACTTAGACCATTAACTAAGGCCTTTAATCAAGGAATCAATATCCCAACACTCCCCTCAAGCTTGTGGTTTATAAATGTCATAAACCCCAAGCTTGTGTAAAAGATGCAAAAGTTGTTTACTGCCCAACCGTTTTGTGAAAATATCAACTAGTTGATCCGTGGTTCGAATATGCTTATCTTGATGGTTCCTTCCGGAATTTTGTCTCTAAGAAAGTGATAGTCAATCTCATATGTTTTGTTCTCTCATGAAACACCGGATTTGCAGCAATATCATTTGCTTCTTTTAGAGGTGGAAAAAATGGGCCGGGTTAGGCGGGTCAACCCTAACCCGGCCCGTATGAAGAGGGTTGGCGGGCCGGGTTGAGCCCAACCCGCCAGCAACCCCCCAAGCGGTCGGTTTGCAAAATGGCAACCCCGCCTGCGGGTTGCTATTTTGTCCTCTCTACAGGAGGACCGCAACCCGGCGGGTTGCAGGCGGGTTGGGTGTGCCAACTCGCCGGTTGGCTGTTGCCAACACCAACTCGGGTTGGCAAAAAAAAAAATTAAAAAAAATGCAAAATTTATTTAGTTTTTTAAATTACACTTTTACCCTGAATATAGCCGTTGGAGGGGTCTTTTTCGTCATTTTCTTTCCCCATTTTTTTCTATATTGGCCCTACACTCTCATATTTTTCTCCACACTCCAATTCTCTCATTCTCTCATATTCCTAATCTCTATTCTCTAAATATTACATTTATTCTCTTAATCTTTTTGTTATCAATTTGCTCTTATTTTAATTTTTTAGTTTTGCAATTTTTAATTCATATTCCAATTTTCCAAATTCCAATTCTCTTCTTTAATTTTATTTCTTCTACATCAATTTTTTTTTCAACTACAATGGATATATATTTCTCTCCCCTCAATTTCAATGATGAAAAAACTACTATCCTAGTCCTAGTCCCGCTGATTTTACTATGAATGCAGGAGATTCAAATAGTCCGCGCTCCCTAATCCCAGTCTCAGAATCCGATACACCTCAAAATGCCGTCGATTCCAACAGCTCCGTGTGGTTCTAGAAGTCGTCCTTGTAATCGTCGTCCTCGTCCAACTTCATCTCAAGCTGAGGCGTTCATCAACTGCTGTTAAAGCGAAGACAGACACACATCAGATGTTTGGGCGCATTTCGACAAGTTTTACGAGACAGAAAATGGCGTTCAAGTCAAGAAAGCAAGATGCAAATATTGTGCAAATGTTTATAAAGATGATTCAGGTAATGGTACTAATACTTTAAAAGGCATGCTAATAAACATATTAATCAACATGGAAATAAGAAAACAATCAACTCAAATAACTAATATAGGTACTACTTGGCGTTATAATTCTGATGTATATAGGGAACGTTAGCTTTATATTGCTGCAGCTGATCACCTATTAATATGGTTGAAGATAATATTTTTGAAAGATTTGTTCAAAATTCATTTTTTCCAGGTTTAAAAGTTATTCTAAAACTGCAACTAGAAATGATTTAATAAATTGTTTAAAAAAAATGAAATTAGATAAAAAATAAATTTCATACTTGTCATATATGTGGCTCTAACTGCCGATATTTGGAGTGGTAGAGCTAAACAAATTATATTTGTGTTACTAGTTATTATTTTGATAATGAATTAAATTAAATAAATCTTATTAGGATTTAGATTAATGATGTGATCATAGTGGTTTGGAAATCTATAATAAAATTGTTGAAGTTTTAGAAGATTATGATATTATTGATAAAGTGATAAGTTTACTTTAGATAATGCAAGTTCTAATAGTAAACTATAGATTTTTTTCAAACTAATTATCCTTTATATAACAATTTGAAGTTTTTTCACCAACGTTTTGCATGTCATGTTATTAATTTAATTGTGAAAAGTGGTATGAAAAAAATTAAAAAAATATTGATAGAATAGGAATCTTTAGCTTGAATTACTGGTAGTAATAAAAGAAATGCTGAATTTCAAGAAGCTTGTATAAAATCAAATATGTCTCCTAGAACTTTTGCATTAGATATGCCTGTTAGATGGAATAGTACTTATTTAATGCTTGATTCATGTTACCTTATGCTAATATATTAGTTTTGTAGCAAATAATAGAGGTCCTCATTATTTAGTTGAAAATGATTGGAAGATAGCGAAAGTATTTCATTCTTTTCTCAAATGTTTTTACCAATCCACTTTACAACTTTCTGGTGTGTATTATCCTACTAGTCCATTAGTAATATATACAATTATAAAATTCCGAGTTATTTACAAAACCAGAGACAATGAAATTTTAAATGCACCAATAAAGGCAATGGAAAATTTTTTTTGAAATATTGGGAACCCATTCATTTTCTTTATTGTTTATTGCTATATTTGATCCTAGAATTAAATTAGCACGTTTAGAAAATAGTTTTGACAATTTAAGTGAAAATTTACAAACCGAATCATTGTCAATCAAATAGAGAGGTAAAAAATAGTCTTTTCGAGTATATTTCCAATATGAAAACAGGTATGGAACCCGCAGTCGCAAAGAAGTGAAATATCCAGAGAAGTTGTACAGAAGAAACACCAAATGAAGACTTATACTCTTGGAATGACTGAATAGCCGAAGAGGACCCGAATCCGAAGCACAGCTGCAGCCTCCTCTTCAGAAGCACCACCACCAACAACAACAACTAATATACTGTCCTCCATGGAGTCGCAGAGTAATGAACTTCAACAATATTGGCAACCCCCGAATGTTTTCAACATGTCACTTTGATACTTGAGTATTGAGAGCCAAAAAATGTATTTTTCCGGTATATCAAGACTTGCCTCAGATGTTTTCGCTGTTCCTGTCTCAACCGTCTCATCCGAACAAACATTTAGTGCAAGTGGAAGGATTTTAAATGAAAGGAGGACTAAACTTGCTCCAAAATATTGAAGTCCTCACATGTCTTCGAGATTGGGAACGATCCGCCATCAAGATCAATACGGTTATCGACAATACTTAGTAAATCGTTTCAATTTTGTAATATAGATGATACAGATGAGGGGTCCTAGTGAACCACCCCCAAATTAGTTGTTTTGTAAAATGTAATTTGTAAATTAATTGTCAATTATTGCACTCTTTTTCTTTATCAAGTTTTTCTCCCATTGGGTTTTCTTGGTGAGGTTTTTAATGAGGCATAATTGTTGTAATTCTTATTTTATTTTTGATAAATGAATATTTTTTCTTATATTTATATTTTATATATCAAAATTGAATTAATATTTGAAATATTAACAAACAAAAAAATTGAATTGAATTATTGATATTTGAAAAGTTAATTAAACAATTATATTTATAATTATTTATTTGAAAAGTTAAATAAAAAAAAAACAAAAAAAAAAAGGAAAATCGGGCTAACCCGGCCTAGCCTACCACCTACCCCTGCGGTTCGGGCTGGCGGGCCAGGCTGGGCCAGCCATTTTGGAGAAAATGGCGGGCCTAACCTGGCCTGCCTTTGCTGGCGGGCGGGTTAGGCCCGACCCGCCAAACAAAGTAACCCGCCGCGGGCCAGGCCGGGCGGGTTACTTTTCCACCTTTAGCTTCTTTATTATCACAATAGAGTTTAACAGGACCTTTAACTTGTACTACAAGATCTTTTAGAAGTCCAAGAATCGAGATGATTTCGCATGTTGTTTTAGCCATGGCCACTCAGCTTATGCTGAAGATAGAGATAATGTTGGCTGCTTTTTAGTTTTCCATGAAATGAGACTACTTCCAAGTTTGATGCATAATCCAGTCAACGATCTTCTTGTCATTAGACAAGTTCCCCAATCTGAGTCACAATATGTAGATATGTCTAAGTTTCCTCCCAAGCAGAGGAGCAATCCAAGAGCAAGGTAGCTTTTCATTTTATTACCCCAATAGCAGCATCCATGTGAGATTGTTTGGGAGCATGCAAGAATTGACTAAGTATCTGTACTGCATAAGTTAGGTCTGGTCGAGTCATAATGAGATAAATGAGTGGCCCAACAAATCCTTGATAACTTGTAGAATCTTGTAGTGGTGGATCTTTTGATGACTGTTTTTCAATGTCATGTTCTATGCTTGTCAATTTTGTGTTTTGTTCAATTGGAATAGGGTTCGGCTTATTGGC